TCTCTCGTTCAGAACTAAAGGAGAGACTATTGGTTGTTCATTGTAGGCGTACACATTCAGTCCCAGGTTTAGTTTCCAGCCAATCATATGCTCGCTTACAGCACCGCCTTACATGTCACACTGGCTCTCACTGGCCATAGTCGAGGAGGGAAGAAGCATTCACATCATATTCCTGAGGACAAGTTGAAGAATGAAAAGAACTAATCTTTGTAGGGAAATGAACGTGAGTGTGTAGATTCTGTAAGGGACTCATTCCCTGTGAATGAATTCTGCGTGAATGTCACACTATCAGATATTATTTGACGGAATCTTTCAACTGAAAGCTACTATGAGGAAACCCTTCAGAATTTCCCATGCAAACCCAACTAATGGAAACCTTCTTTTGCTCCATATAATCAAATAACTTTGTCCTTCTCTTAGAGGTATAAATGCGCATATGAAAGATTTTGTTCATGCTCGTCATATTCCACAAATGCTTTGCAAAGAAGAGAACATTGGAGGGCAGGATCTGTCTACTCCTCATTTCAATCTTCTCTTGTACTGTATCACAATTGATGTCAGAATTTTTTATGAATATTTGTCATTTGTATACTCGTAATGGCTAGAAAGCACTGCTAACAATTAAATAGAGGGCTCAAATCGAAATTTGAAGAAGTTTTGGAAGCAGGCCTGGGATCAGTCCATCCATGGGACAAGTTGGACCAACAAGTTTAAAATGAGTGTCTAGCTAATGGGACAGAAGTGCTTGCATGCTTGAAAAGGTGCTGGGAGGGTTTGGACACGAGTTAGTCCCAAAAATAGCTGGAACAGATGCTGTGAATCTGTGCTGCTGTGGTAAAGGTAAGGGCTGATTATTTTGACAAAACTCATACTCAGGCACTTGCATTCATCGAATTGCACCTACAATGCACAGTACATTGTTACATTACTCTTAAAAACCAGTTACATTTGTTTTAAGTGTTTCTAATATTTTCTTGTAATAAAAGTTTGAAAAGGCAGCGTATCGTTTATTTTTATAAGAAATTGGAGGGTGGGCCCTAACTTCTGGCCTCTAGTGTATGCGCGCGAAAAAAAATATACAAAGCAACTATCAGCATGAAACAAAGTGAAATCGCAGCCATTTCAGGCATGTTTAGGTCCCCAAAAGAGTATGTATGGTCACCCTATACCCCAGTTTTAAAATTGGTCAAACACTTTTGATTTAACGTGAAGTAATTCTGTCACTTCTGTGGAAAAAATATATGGACATGACTCTGAAGTCTTAGATATGGAGGAGTTCGTCAGGCTAAGTACATGGAAAACCACAGAATACGGTTGTTTAGAAGCCTGACCACTGTGCTGAAACACAATGTAATGAAATACTGCCTATCCATTTTCTATAGCGTACAGTATTAGAAAAGCAAAATTAAGAATTAAAACGTGTCCTCATTTATTTTTAGTTAAATGTTAGTAGAAATGAGTGGATTATAGGCTCTTTTAAATAAGCTTACCTTCACATGAGTGACAGGGTATCATAACCATACATATTCTGTAATCTATGATAATGTGATGTTTATCATTTTGGGTAGCAAGGCCAGTCAATCCCATCGGCGGCAACTTTTGAGGGGTACGATTTAGCTAGCTGAAGTATTGGCGCCCCCTGCAGTGCTAGCATAGAAAAGCCATCCGATGTGGGGGAAGGGGAAAGGTTTTAAACATAAAATTAAGGTTAGTATGATGGTACAAAAAATGCCAAAAGGGCTGTGAAACGATTAATCGCATATAGCCTGCAATCATGTTGCAATGCCATAAAAAATGTATACATTGTATGTTGAGCCTAGAAACTAAATTCTATTTGAAATCTCAATGCTCATACTGTCCTGCCATTAGGGTATGAAAAACAACGCAATTAAGTTAACCCTATGAAAGAAATAATGTATTATGACGTCGAGCACCTATTATTTAAGATATAATTTAATATCTGTAATTATTTATTTAATGTGTCTTTATGTAACAATGCTACTTAGGCTATAGGCCTATTATAATTATTTTTAAGTACTGTGCTATAGTATAACACTAAACAATGCGGATTTTATTTTGTGTAGAGCACCACATTGCTACATCTAGCATTGCTTAGTAGAAAGACGTCAGTAACAGCTTTCTTCTTTGCACCCCCACCCATTTTTTTTACTGTCCCTGGGGCCACTCTGAAATGAATCTGTAACTGTTCATATTTCTCCGCATGCGTACTAGTGGACGTGTCCGCGCGAACGTTTATGACGCGTTTTACGTCATTGTGCGTCCCTGACCACTGACGGAGATCCAATGCATGCGGCGGGTTCTTCCCAGAGAAGAACCTGGGGGGGGGGAACCGGAGGCGGAACCCAATATTTAATTTGGATTCATTCAACCTCCCCCCCACCCACACATAAATAACAGTATGCAGAGTCTCGCTGTTCCATAAGCGGGGTACAGGGAACCCCTGACGCTTCTCACATTTGTCCAGCAGATGTAGCTATCTTACTAAAGGCAGAAATGCCCGGAATCGACCCGTACCGCGAGTTTTGGCTTGTTCTTCAAACTGAACATTATTATCAGAGATTGACATTGTCATATCGGCGCAAATGCACATATAATGCGTACGCATTCACGCTGCTACAACACTCGATTGCCGAATGTATCGCTTTTAAAGGTGAATGCGTACTTGCGCACCAGTTATGTCAATCCCGTATTATTATCATCATTATAACTGAGTAACCGCACATCGGCATCATTTAATTACCCGGTTTCACCAAATAAAAAGGGGAAAGAAAATATATAGTGTCCAGCTGTCACTCAAAGTCATGAGATATGACTGACATTAAAACAAGTTTTATTATAATAAATAGGCCTATGTTTTACAAATATAGTAACTCTTTAACATTCGCGAGGGGTACGGGCAGAAATCCGATTCAAGAACAATTCTTGGGTCTATTACTAAAAATTAAAATTTGACGGCACTGAAAACTTGAAAATATACTGCAAGAAACGCGAGATTCCACGGTCAACGAAACAGCTAATATGTAAGTGAGGATGGTTCCCGAGACAAATGGCACTTGACACTGGCGCGCAGGAATCAAGCCGTATCCGGTCTGTATAGTGAAGAGAGACTATAGGATGCGCGGGGTAGGCAACCCAAGGCAAGATACGAAGATCACGCAGTTAAAAAAAGAAACAAATAGCAAATAGGAGGTTATATAAATATTACAGATGTCTTATGCACTTACAGAATCAAATATTAAATAACACTAATATTTATGTATTATATGTAATCCAAATAATTTCAGTAGCCTATTGTTTATATGTTTATGTCTTACGCATTGTCTAAAAATATTCCCATTTAATTTTTGACGTCCAACTCTATATAGAATAACCGAATCTGCGAATGTCCAAATAAGTAATTGATAACGGTATAAGACGCTCGTGGGGCTGTAAATCAGGTGGTGACCGCATTCACCTGTAACTAATTTGCGACAATATGGGCCTAAAAGAGTTTTCCAGACGTACCCCGCTCTTCGATAGGCCGGGTCACATGCACACTTTGTTCATTCCATGGCCTGGCGCCCTAAGTTCATTTGGACTCTGCACGTAAGTGCCCCTTCTCCCCCAAATTCTCAAGGTCACATCTCACTGTGCTTCTCACCACAGACCAGTGCCTGAAGATCCGCATTACGTGATAAATCATTGGTAATCGTGAATTGTTTCCTTCGTATCGTATCGTAACGTGAGTGATACATTTTATTCAAGTATCAAAGGTTCCACTTGCGGCTGTAACCATTTCCTCATACTTTCGTACTCGGTCTGCACTTGTGTTAACTTAGCAAAGAAACGATGGAACACCGCTTCAGCCAGTTGATAGCGGTCGAAGTGACGCAAAAAATATATAATGTGCTGTTGTTCGAGGCTCTAAGAAACAAAAACTTGAGAAAAAAATGTTGACTTGCAGCAGGTGCTGAATCGTGACTGAAATCAAACGTCGCACGCACATGTACACTTGTATTCATATTGGCAATACGGGTTCAATTATTGCGCGCATAATGAATAGAGCAATAACCAAAATATAAATCGTTATGCCGCATCAGTAAAGTGGTAGCGCATATGCTTCCTCTAAATATTCTGTCACTGAATTGTGCGTCCTTGTTTCGTGATTTATGAATGATGTAAAGCAATATTTGTTATGAAAACGCCCATTCTGTTGGTTTTGATGGTGAAAGTAGCAGCTTGTTTGAACTCATCGCAGTGCCCAAAATGATTGTTCATAATTACTCGTATATACTTTTTTTTATTATTATTCATTTCTTTTTTTTTTAGATTGCCCTAAGTCTTGTCATTTTCAGGGCGGGTGTTTTCGTTTTGGGCATTTTGAAAAGGATCTTTTCTAAAATTGGGTGGAGAAATAAGGTCTTGAAAACCAAGTAGTTTCCAACAATTATCCGATGGGCAAGATAAGGCGACTCCCGTATGCACTTCTCGGCTACCAGCTGAATGTTGGCACTTGACAATACCTAATTTGACTATTAGACTGAACATAGAATTTAATCCGTTTCCATTCATTGAGTTTTTTTTTGGTGATTTATTGCGGAGGAACGGCTGTTTGTATCTTAAGATTTGGGTGTTAAACCGGGAAGTATACGTGGGTCAGGATTTTGCACGGTCTGTATGACAGAAGTGCTCGCCCGAGGCTTCAGTTGGAACTTGCTTTAACTTGCCATACTTTTTTCAAGTTCGACGCTTGGAAGTAATATCTCCTAAGGCATCAAAGGTGTTTTGAATGCATACAAGCAACCAAATTGCGCATAAAAAGGAAGATGCGTCTTTTTGTTTAAGTCAGTTGTCCGTGATCTGACTATTTACGACATAGAACTGTTTCTGGAGGTTAAAGCTACATTTACGATTTGGCTCGAAATTGGACTTGCTATTGTGTCCAGAGCACACCGGACCCTGCTAGTTTCGGGTCGCCGTATGTTAATGAGCTGCGCTCTCTAGCTCCCCCCGCCCCCTGTTGCTCCCAAGTTCCCGAAGTCGTTCTGACCCACGGCAGAAATTTTCCACAACACTTTCATTACGGACCCGTCGCATTCTCGCAGCTTTCCCTCGGTCTCCACTTTCAAATTAGGTAAATTCGCTTTAAATCCTGGAAGGTGTAGCGATGCCGAGGCTCTGATAAGTAATCTACCGGTCGGTACCGTAGATCCCAAATCTTACTCGTATTTGATCTTCTCAAAGCATTTAAACTGGTCTAAGGTCTACATAAGGGGGTCGTACATAACTGGAAGAAAGTTTTTTTTTTATTTCCCCCCAGCTCCGGCCCCATCGCTTCTAACTGACAGTACGGCTCACCAATGGCTGATTTCCTTTAGGAACCCGGCGACTCGGTATCCTGTAAGCCCGGGTCTTTGCAGCTTACGGGGGGCAGAGCCGATACCATGGAGAAGAGTCCCACGAATACGCCGCTTTAATCGGGGGACAAAACCCACTCCGATCTGAAGTTAAGGTGAGTTTCTTGTTTTCCGGTGACCCGTGCGGAACCGCGGTGGCTTTCACGAAGCGGTACAGCGCCCGCATGTCGAGTCGGACAGTCGAGAAAGTTTCTCTCGGTAGTAGAGCGGGCTGGCGTCCCGTGTGTGGATTTCCATTCCGAAGGGTGTGCATCAGTCGTCAAGCAGGACGACCACCACGGGGTGCCTTTTAACCTTTATTCTCAGCAGTAATATTAAATATCACGTAATCTTTTTGTATTAAAAATACCGACCGCGACAGTCAACACAGGGTTGTATTTTGTTTTGCTCACTAATGATGACCCGCATACTTCGGTTGCGTTTTGTTTGTGGTCCCCGTGGGTGTGCGATCACTGACTTTTTCTCTACTTAGGAATGTTTTCAGCCACCCGCATTTTACGTTAAACTAGCGGTTTAGTCGCAACAAAATTACCCGATATTACGTTTGTGTAGTAAAATGTTTACTACTGACAACTTGCATCCAGCTCAAGCAAAGCTGGATATTTCACCCAATAGGTAAACAATGTGTACCGCCAGTTGCAAAATTCCTTATCGATCGTTAAAAGTTTAGTCAATAGTGTCCTCAGCTGTATGAAAGTTAGTGACGTATATTGGTGGCATTTTAGATTTAGGGTGAAGAATTTAACTTGTTTACTGAGCTTAAAAAAACATCAGCATATGCGCATTCCTTAATTCTGGAGGGGAATCTGGGTTATACATTTTTTTTAAGAAGAAAAAAACTGGAATGCAAACGGGACCTCGAATGTAACGTTTATAAGGTGGGAAAACTATAGCCAACTTACATAAATTAAAATAAACTACAGCGAAGCGATTAAATAGGGTTGTTTTCGTACTTTGGTTACGGGCTAATTCGTTTTCCCCAAGGTCGGACGATGGTGCGGACGCATTTACATTTTTCTTTCGCTCTGGGGTTGGATGCTGCCCCTTATAAATTACGTTACGGGTCTCTGCTCGGATTAAAAGGTAAACTGGCTTTACCTCAGGTGAGAGTGTTGTCATTGAAAAGGAGCAAAATCACAATTCTGAAGCTCTCACTTGAAGCTGAGACCATTTTATGAGTCATAGTCCACTGGGGACATGTAGCGTAAAATATTAAAACAATGAGAGGTGACACCCATCTTTAGTCAGAACTCCATACTACTGAGGTACCTCATGAATGACAGGCCAGTGTCATCGCCTGATTGGCCCTGCCGAAGGTGGAGGGCGGATCCCATTGGGGTGTGGCAGGGTCACTCAGAAGGCAGGGTGGCACTTAACATTTAGTGCCATTTTTAGCTTTACGTTTCTGTCGGCTTAATGGAGCACTAACAACAGGCCAGGAAACACAAAGCATGTTGGCCCTATGCTTACATTTATCTGTTACAACGCAATCGCTGTTAACGGTATAAGAGGGGGAGGGGGTAGCATGTGAGCATATGGGACCATTTAAGATTTGAACATACTTCTTAATCTGTTTTCCTCAATTACTTTAAGTTACCCGTTAGGATGCAGGTAGTGCTGTTTTAGGACTGCTTGTTTAGATGTCTTCATGTTTAAGCAGTTCAGCGAGTATTTTTAATCCCTGGTGGCAGCTTTTCAGAGTGCCTTAGGCGTGAGATGCCGATGCCACGATTATTATTATTAGTATTACTGCCTGTCATAACTTCAGAGAGGCCATTTAATCTGAACAGATGTGTAAAAACCGAAAATATGCTCCGGGTTTGGAAGTGTTAGGAATGCGGACTTGTGTAATTCGGGGAAGGCAGGCATCACGTGCAGTTCTTTCCAGCTTTGGTTAGTGCGTGTCCTTGCCTAAAGTCTCCTATCTGAGACTTACTTTCAGTTTTGTTATGTCAGATTTTCCAAGTTTGACTTAATGGAAGTTTTTTTTTCTGCTAATAGTAAAAATTAAAAGTCATCAAAGTTGAATTTTGTTCGGGAACCGTGCGTCAGTGCCAGACTCCGGGCTGGCCGTGCCATTGGAGGCTGTGCAGGGGATCTCGGCGGTTCCCCCCCAGCATCCATTGGGGCTTGCGGTTCGCTATGCTAAAAGGCTGCAGCGATAGTGCGGTTTCCGTCAACGCCTCGCATCATTTCTCGACGTGTGCTTGTGAAAACGTTAATTTTCAAGCGATCATTTAACAGTGTATTCCAGTAGTAACAGCTGAGTAGCTGTGCGGAATTAAAATCAACAGAGTGCCATTAAAATGTCTTTGTCATTAGGGGCATGTGACAAAATGTGCAAAGCAGGAAGATTGTGTTTGTCTAGTGATTTCTGAAGTGGTGACGAGCAGATGGAGCGGCGTACACTTGGGTTTCCATGAGGAAAAAAGTGCCATTTAAAGGGGGAATCCGGTAACAGGTGGCTTCTTAGGTGCCTCTTTCTTCCTGATCATGGTGGCTGACAGTCTGGTGCTTAAGCTGGGATTTGACCTCCCTGTGTTTCACGTTGTTTTCTCTGCTGCTCGATCACTGTGGATATCAACCTGACAGGCTTAGGGGAAGCCTGCGGGAGAGAAAAATGTGCTAAAAGCCCTGGGTGGTTTGTGGGGCGCCCCCATGTGGTTATCCTCAAGGCCTTATCTCATTCGAAAGGCTCAGGTCACGTCTGATTCTGATTGTAGTGATGCGCTGAACAGCCTTGTGTTTCTGTCGCTAACTGTGGTTGGAGTGTCGCGTGTAGAGGTGGGGGGTGATTGCAGCTGATGAGGGTCATTAGGGACATGAAAGAGAAGTCGATTGGTGGAATGAAGTGAGCCGTGGTTGGGGGACGGTTTGGAGAGCAGACATTTTAAAATGGTCTGAAGAAAACCGAGCCTCAAAGGAGACGTATAGTGTTTCAAAGCTTATTTATTAATCAGACTCTTAAAAAAGTCTGACAATGCTTTGGTAGCTCAACTTCTCTCCCGTTTGGCCTTTTGTGCGAGTCTGATGCAGGCTGCAGCCCGCCTGCACACCCCAAAGCACGCTGTGCTGCGTTCAGCACGCTGTCCAGCCTGTGGTGGGAGAGGAATGCTCTGCGGTGGCACGGCTGCGGTGCCCGAACATCGGCTTGGCCACATTGCCAGACCGATCTTTGGTCAGGCCGGGGTTCTTCTCGACCACCGCAAGACTTCCAGGGTCCACAGGCAGACCCTGGCCAGAAAGTTGCCTAATTAGTAGGCAGAGAAGGCTGTTTGGAGCCGCAGCTTGCAAATGACAGGAAGACTGTTTAAAGATCACACTCGGTGATCAAAACAAGTCTCAGTCAACCAGCAGGTGGCGTAGTAGTTAAACGAAGAGATCCCTGGTACTTGCAGTGCTTGATCTGAATAAGGTTCTGGAAACCACTTGGGATATCAAAAGGTGGGCTGATCTGGTGTGGGGTTAGAAGGTGATCATGAATACATTTGGGGTACTGTGTGTGGTCCACAATGTGTGAGACAGCTGGGCCAAGGAATCTGATGCAGAGAAAGCTTAAGCTCTAGAGTGGGTCCAGTTCTAACCGTTGTGGTCACCTACACAGACGTCGGTCACAATCTGAGTGCTGAGGACCGAGTGGTCCGGTCCTGTTCTTATTTTCAAACTGGGTCCATGGTGCAGAGCTGAGACCCAGGTAGCAGTTGGTTTGTCCTTATGGGTCTGCTTCTTCCCTCCTAGGGGAAAGAGTCATTCTGAATTGCAGTTACCCCAGCAATCTTGCTGAATACTGACACCATGTCATGTGATAACCCCAGGCTGAAACCCTCCTCCCCCCATTTGCGGGGGTGGTGTGTCCTGGGCTCACTATGGCTCGTAAAGACGTCCCAGTGACGAGAAATCTGGGCCTGGGTCCGGCCTTCACCGTGACTCATTCTCGGAGTAGACTGGAAGATGATCAGGAGCACAGACCCACAGCGTGCCAGAGCCTCATCAGCCCGGCGGGATTGGGGGCGGGGGAGGGCGGGGGCGGGGGCGGGGGCAGCAGGAGGTGCTCCCGATCAGGGCTAGATGCCACATCGGGCAGCCCAGGGCCCGTGTACTGTGTCGTATCCCCACCCATTGTGTAATTAGACACTGCCGCACAGGGTGGAAGTTTAGGTCCAGAGCAGTGGCCTTCGGGTGGGGGGTGTCTGTGAGGGCTGCCTCCCTATCAGCAGAGATCCCGAGGTGGGATGGTACTGAGGGAGTTGGGGTGCAGTGTGTCCTGTCGTGTATGATGTTCCCCAAACAGCCTGCATCACTATTGCGGGCATTAGCATGAGCTGCCGTGCGTCATGCTCATTTTTATCTTTATTCTTTCACTGACATTTATGACATGCTTGTGAACTGTTGCCTTCATCACTGCCCCCCCCCCCCATGTAGATGGTTGATTACCAGAAAAATAAAACAAAGTTTGCAAAGGAACCAGAGGGACGGGGGGTATAATTGCCAGAGAGGAGAGCTTGACAGATGCCATTTCAGCCCAGCACTGGCCGTTTCTTGGGCACAAACCCCTGTTTCAGGAGCTGATGGAATCAGGGCAGGACAGGGCAATCAATTAAGTTTGTCTTGGGGTGTGGTATAGAAAAGGAACATTTGATGGAAAAACTAACTAGTCTATTATGGATTCAGGTCTTGAGGTCAGCCTTGGGTTTGGGTGATTGGGTCCAAAACCAGCAAAAGTGATCCAAACGAGAGAGACAAAGGGAACGTGAAGTCCCAAACCGCGCCGGTGCCCGTTACCCACATGTGGGATTTCTGCTGCCCTGTGCATGATCCGCACACACGGCGTCTGGGCCCGTCTCAGGTCACTTCATGCTTGCTTCATTTTGCTGTGTGGTCTCCCTGGCGGTCTGTGCGGTGTTTCCGGGCGCTATGCTCTGTCGGTCAGGGTTTGATCCGTTCCTGTGTGGTGGAGCCCTCCCCGAATTGCGGTGAGCTCCTAAAAATAGCCGTAACACCTTTAGGGAAATGGAGCATGACGCTGACGCCAAGTGCGGAGCGTCCCCGGCCCGGCGGGCCTGTGATGGCTGTCACCTCTGTCACTTTATCCCGA